ATATCAAGAGTAATATTCTCCAGAAACTTCCTGTCGAATGTAGGAAAACAGTTTAGACTCGTGTATCCATTGGAGTATTCCGGTGTATCAAAACACTATATCGAAACAATTTTTGCCATCGCACGATGCGAGATAGTTTATACTGCTTCGCGGTGCAAGACAGTATATATTGTCTCGCGATGCGAGACAGTATATTTATACTGCTTCGCGGTGCAAGACAGTATATGCTGTCTCGCTGTACGAGACAGTATATACTGTCTCGCATGGCGAGACAGTAAAATCTGTCTCGCTCGGCGAATCGGGGTTATAAAACCCCAACTTAGGGTTTTTTTTTTGAAGCTTTTCACGTTGATTTTTAACGGTTTCTGGCGATTTTCTTGGGCGATTTTCTGCAAGTTTCCTGCTTCTTCTTCCCTTCTTTGTTTCTGATTTGGGTGGAGTTCTTGTTTGGGGAGATTCCACTCGGATTTGATAGGTTTGATTTCCCTCTTTTCTTTAAAACTTTGATTTTTTTCAACTTTGACCTTGCATGCACTGTTTCGGCCATTTTTTGTGATATTTTGATCGACTTCTTGCTCAAAATCCTAACCTTTTTTGTTGGGTTTCCTTGTAGATCATTTACTCAACATGTCACCACGTAGATCTCGCGCTCCTCGAGGTCGCTCGACTGTTCAGTGCCCCGAAGAGGCTGCTCCTGTTGCCGCTTCGCATGGGGGTACGTTTCTTTCACCCTTTCGCGAGTTTAAATATTGTATTTCATCAATTTCATATATATGTACCTGTATTTGTATGCAGATCCTCGTTTGTATCCTTTGAGATACCTTCGAGAAGAGCCGGTATCCTCCTTTGAGGGGATCGACGCTTAAAAGTGTTTGTTTTGCTTGGACAAAACACACTTCAGAATATACAGGGGCGATTTCATATCATCCCACATGTATTAAAAGGTTTTGGTATGCCGTTATAATGCCCGTGCATAGTAACGCATATCTTCTTTATACATGTGGTAGATAAAAAATCGTCACACCTGTTATGAGATAGCGACTATATCTTATGGAGTAAGATATACCGTTTTCTCTAAAATCTTAGGACTATTCTCACACAATTTATGTGTATGTTTCTTTTATCAGTCCGATTTTCTTCTACCACCTTTACTGCTGATGCGGTTACGGGCCAGAGTAGCGTTACCCACTCTTATTATGAGGGGTTTCCGTTAATTGAATCATCTCCCCAGTTTAAATCTGGCTATAGCGAAGGGGCTAGAGAGTTGATCCAGCGAGGTAGTTGTCGTGTTCTACGACGGTTAATCACAGATGCGCCCTTGATCTCGGAGCAAGACTCGAATCAATGCATAAGGAAGCCAGATTTCTTATTTGGTGACTCGGTAAAAGATCCGAAGATTGCTTTCTGCCAGCCTGCGCAATGGTTGCACCAGAATGGGTCCTCATTCTTATATCTGCCTTTTATACCTCGGGATCATTCATTACTAAAGTTCAGGAACCTATCGGTTGGACGTGAGATGTTCTGGAAGTTAACCGAAAACCACGAGCGTATTCATTGTGGTTTCTTTGGGAAGGAAGCCACCCCAGGTTCCAGTGAAAGAGCTCATGTGCGGGGACTTCATCCGGGTGTCTTAGGACAAGACAATATTCCTCAGAACGAAAAGATAGAGAACCGGTTAGCGGCAGCGGGAAAACGATTACCCAGAGAGAATTTCAGATGTTATGGATGGGTCCATTATTTTGGAGACAAGTGGTGGTGGACCAGAATGACTCGCTATGTGTTGAACCGTTGGGGGCGAGCGTTAGCAGAACTAGGGTTGGCGGTCCCGATCCGTGCTACTATGAATGGTCTGTAGATTAGTGTAGGTCATTTCCTCTGTTTGTTTGAGATCTAAAACCCGGACACTAATACATTCTTTACCAAGAATGGGGAGCTCGGACTACCACTGCATGAAATGATGAAGGTGTCTGGTTTGCCCATGGGCGATGTTCCATATCAAGAGTTCTTCCCAACCACCAGTCAGCTGAACAAGATGAAAGATAGGTCAGCTGTGACCCATGATACTTTATGGGAATTGACCTGCTATTATCACATAGCCATGGCCGAGATGGAGCCCAAAGCCAGAAAGAAATCTCCTCAGATCAGTCTAAAACAATTCGCCGATTATCTATTCAAGAACCTGGATGATCGTTCGGAAGATGTATGCGGATTGTCTCCTTTGAGTTCGGGTGAAATCAATCGTCTGTTAGAGAAAACAAACGCGCAATCTTACACCTCTCGCTCGGAAGACGGATTTTCGCACGGCACCAAATTCCGCCCTTATCTGTGGCAAGCTGGTGTTCCGATTAGCCCTACTGCTCTGCTGGCTGGTTTCCTGGCTTTATGGCTAAAGAGGTGCGTAGTTCCCCACCAGTCCTCTGATGCGATGCCAATGGAAGTGTTGTATCCAGCCGTCCAACTAGCTACAGGTCGCAAATTATCCTTGCTTCCCGCTATGGTGGCTACTATTCACAGTGGATTACGGCAATTAATCTCCGTGTTTACCCAGGAGAAAAAAAAACCCTCCGCCAGCCTATCCGTTCCGAAGCTGGAGCTACCCTACACTTATCTAATGACCTGGTTAGTACTTCACCAGCCAGATTTAATGGAAGCTCCTGAGACGGTAGATCCCAGCCTTCCTCTGTTGCAGAATCTTGAGGGGTGGCCAGATTTAATGGAAGCTCCTGAGACGGTAGATCCCAGCCTTCCTCTGTTGCAGAATCTTGAGGGGTGCAAATGGATCAAACATCGATGGCCTGACATAACGAGGTAGTTCAAAATTCACAAGTGTTGGGAATTCTTCCCCTGCTTCCCTCAGTTCTCCGGTACCTACAACACGACTTTATCGAATGCTGAAGACCCAAGGCAGAATCACACCATCTTGGATGTCGGGTGCTTCCGATGGTTGATGAACATTCGACCTAGATATCTATTGTTCAGGGTAAGAGATGTTTGTCACATTGAACCCTAATGGTTGATGAACATTCGACCTAGATATCTATTGTTCAGGGTAAGAGATGTTTGTCACATTGAACCCTATCTTCCATGTCGATTTGCTCGTCAAGATGTTTGTCACATTGAACCCTATCTTCCATGTCGATTTGCTCGTCAATTCGGCTATGATCAAATGTACGTCGGCAACCCAAATCGTCACCTTAGCTTTCGAGGTGGACTTATCGACGGTGTGAGGGCTTGGTTTTGGAGTATTGTCGGCTGCACCAATGCTGAATTTGATCTTCCTTTAGAAGTAGCACCTCTACGGATGACTTTCCTGTATTGCAAATGGTTGATAGCCGCTAATATCGTCACTCGACGTAGGAGGATATCAGACTCAGAGGAAGAGATAGCTCCACAGCAAGCAACAGAAGTGACCCGTGAAGCTGTGATGTCACCCCGAGGAAAAGAGGCTGCTGAATCATCGAGGAAAGGAAAGGAACCGGCCCGCCCGATGGATAGTGAAGAAGAGTTTGATAGTGAAGCGACCGAAACTTCTGAAGGGGGCGGACGAGACTGACTCAAGTTCTGAGGAAGCAGCAGGTCTCCCCGACTCTTTCTTCGAGAGAGGACTTGTAAGACCTTCCGTCACTCCGGCTCAACCACAAGGTGCTCCGAAAAGAAGGAGAGAGAGAGTCGTCATGAACTATCCTAATAAGATAACAGTAGAAGTCCTCAGCGAAGACGAAGAGGATGAAGAGGATACAGTGCCTCTTGCTCGTAGGCAAAGATCTTAATCTTCCACTCAAGCTCAAACTCAAGCTTCTCCCAGAGTTGAACTGCGTACTAAATATCGCCATGAAAGATCCAGGGTTCAAGACGAGTCACGTCCCCTAAAAAGACGAAAGAAAGCCGCTTCTAAGTCACGTGTTCGTCTCCCCGCTTTAGAGGAAACGTCTGCCCGTAGCGCTTCTTTAGAAGAGCAAGGTAACTATTTGTCTTTATCGCTCTCACACTTCTTAACGGTTAAACTTATTTCATGCTCAACTTCTGCAGGGAGTCGAGAAGAAGGAGAATTGCCAGCTGATGCTGCTTCTCCCGGAGGTATGGAGACTGAGGAGACCAGCTTCGTCCAACAAATGCAGGATGCTCTGAAAGAAGGACCAGCTGGGGTTCCACCAACTCCTGACATTGATCCATCGGCTACAGACACAGGTACTGGTCTTTCCCCCCTTGGAAGAGAAATCAGAGAAATGAATGAGTCGGACCGTGTGCCTCCTCTAATGACTTGTGTGCTTTGTCTTCTTTTAGTCCAACTAAAAGAAGTGGGTGCAGGTAGTGGAGCTCTTGAATCCGCCCCGACCAACGAAGGTAAAATTAATCTTTGTCTTGAGCAAATTCGTCTAAATTTACATGTTATTTATGGTTTAATACGTTCCGTAGATGCCACGATGCATGAATCAACTGAAGGAGAAGCTACCCATGCCACCAAAGTCGATGATTTTAATGATTTCGACTTTAATCTTGATATCTCGGAGGACGACCATCAGCAAATCCTTGATTCTTTGTCAGGGAAAGCTTCTGGTGCAGCTGCAGGCTCAGACGTTGGAATTGGTTCAACAGAAGCAGGTCCTTTTGAGAGTAAGGCCTCTGTTCTTTAAACTCTCTCTCTCTCTCTCTATATATATATATATATTTTAACTTGCTTGATCATATAAGTATTTGAATTATAGGACCAGTTGCTGGAACTGATACTACTATAATCATCGGAGCGTCTGATCAACTGGAGGGTCGTGACCTTGTGCCATGGGCGGGAACTGAGTTCGATTTGCAATAATCAGCTTTCGAATCTCAACCTACTACTCCTATGGACCCTATGATGATAGAAGTCACCGTCACTCCCCAAATTAGTCCGGTTACAACAAAAGCGAGACCAACTGAATAAGTTGGTACGTCGGCCGATGTTGTGCCTAGAATTGGTGAGTTTTACCCATCATTTGTTTCAAGTTTCGATTCAACATTCCACTATGCTCATTATAGATCTTTTGTTTGTAGAATCCCCTCCTAAGGGGCCTCTTAGTTTGGTCCCGCCGTCTTCTGAGGCTTTAGTTGAAAAAGCATCTGATGTAGCGGGTGCATCAACAGATACCATTCCTGAACTAACCTTGGTTGTTCAGGAAGCAGGGCTACCATCCTTGGGTGAACCAAGTCATGCTGAAGGCTCTTCCGTCAAACTTGGTATGCTTTAGCTTGTTGTCTTGTATGCATACATATGTCCTGTACTGACTTATTTGCCCTCATCGCAGTTCCTTCATCATTATCAAATCACATTCAAGCGTTATTGGTTGACGACGATCCGGACAAGGCTGTTATCTGTTCTAATCTCCAAGGCTTCCTCCCCTTTTTGAACTCTATGGTCGATCGTATTCTTTTCAAAGGCTCGTACTTTGAGAGTTATAAAAAATCTCTTGATCGTTTTATATAAGGATTCATAGAGGAAGGGTATAACGAATTAGCCGATTCAATCAATGCTTATTCGGTTGATTTGAAACGACATGTTGAACTTCTGCAAGCTCTTCGCACCAAAGGCATACCCTTCTATATCGCTTCTCATATGGAATCCAGGTTGCAAGCGTGGTGTGATTCCCAAAAATCAGCTAACCTCGAACTTCAAAAGCTAAGAGCCCGAAGTGATCAACTTAGGGTGAGTGTTGACAAAAGAAGACAAGCCAAGGTCAACCTGCGCCGGGACTTAGAATCGAGTCGAGCAGAAATAGCTCGCTTAGAGGAGCAACTTACAAAGGCCAAGGATGCTCATGAGGCTTTAGAGTCCGAGTTGACGTAGGAAACTCAGGTTGAAGAAAACTTGCTTCAGCAGCTGAATCTTCAAGATAAAATACTCGCTGAAAAGGAACAAGAGGTCGCCGAACTTCAAGGTGTTGACGAAGAAGCTATCAAAATTAAATTGGCGGCTGAGCTTGAACAGGCTTATGCGTTAGAGCTTTCGAAACTTGAAGATCAGATTAGTCAATATAAACTTTTGTAATTGGAGAACATATATTTTTGTAGCTTCATTTGAACGCTTTTGGTTAATATAATGAACCCTTTTGCTCATTAAGATTTTATTATAATTATTCATTCTTGTTTAGAATAAATAACCATAATACTTATAGGATTTTTGGCAAATCCTCAGCCATCAACGGATTTGATATGCCTTTACCGACTACCGTTTGAATCGGGCTAGTATGTGAATTATCTAAATCCGTTCCACATATAACGTTGTGCTAAAAGAATCAAACTCTTTTAGACTTTAAACTACAATATTGAATATGTAGGCTACATGTGTTAGATGTAGACTTATCTCTAATAAGGGATAGAGATAACATCCTCCATGTGTGAACGACATGGATTTTAAAGTGTGAGTAGGTTGCGTTTCCTATATAGGACAACGAGCCCGAAATCGGAGAGGAAGAATTTTATATTCTATCTCCTGGTCTCTTGTTTGTTGGTAGAGATAAACCCAGAATCGGAGAGGAAGAATTTTATATTCTATCTCCTGGTCTCTTGTTTGTTGGTAGAGATAAACCCAGAATCGGAGAGGAAGAATTTTATATTCTATCTCCTGGTCTCTTGTTTGTTGGTAGAGATAAACCCAGAATCGGAGAGGAAGAATTTTATATTCTATCTCCTGGTCTCTTGTTTGTTGGTAGAGATAAACCCAAAATCGGAGAAGAAGAATTTTATATTCTATCTCCTGGAATAAAGAAACTCAAAGTGGGATCTCCGCTTAGAGAATCTGGATTGGTTTGAGTAATCCTAACTGTCATAAGGTTTGATTACTCAATTCAAAAGTGGACCTTTCGTTCGCAAAATTTTAATCCATGACTGATTTTGGTGTACTCTTCGTCGATCGATTTGACCGGTGAGGAGTTTTGTGAGGAAAGATTAACTGTTTACAGAATTGAATCTCATCTCAACAAAAGCTGTAAAAGAACTTTATGATAATCAAAAACATATTATTTGAAAGATCAGTTTCATATCTAGACCAATCAACTGATCTCGGGTTATCCCGAAATATCCCATACAAGATTCTCTAGGAACTTCCTGTTCTGCATAGGTTATCCTGAACATATTACGGATAATATTTTTTCAGGAACTTCCCATTTATTAGCATTATTAATTTGCTGCCATCTTGGGTAATCAGGCGGTAAGCACCGTTTGAATAGACTGTTTCAATCACGAACGGTCCTTCCCATTTAGGTTCAAATTTACCTTTCTTCTTAGAAGTGAGAATCATAGGTCTTCGGACAGCGAGGACTAGATCTCCTTCTTTAAAGCTTCGTCGTCGGACCTTTTTATCGAAAGCCCGAGAAATTCTAGCTTGATAAAACTCGATTTGTTGTTGAGCTTCCAAGCGTTTCTCATCTAACATCTCTAATTCCTCAAGACGTTTCTGATGATGTTCTTCCGTCGTCATTCCCGTTGTAAGAGCGATACGGAGGGAAGGAATCTGTATTTCTAATGGAAGGACGGCTTCACACCCATATGTTAAGGCATACGGGGTGGTTGCGGTTGGCGTACGAACGGTGGTACGCTAAGCCCACAAGGCTTCGCCGAGTTTATCGTCCCAATCTCGTTTATTGGTTTTCACCAATTTTACCAGAATTTTGATGATAGTCTTGTTAAAAGCTTCAGCCAATCCGTTAGCTGTAGGATTATAAGCAGTCGATGAAACGTCTTTAATCCCGAATTTACTGCAGAACTTGATAAACGCGTTGCTCACGAACTGAGGACCATTATCGTGCACTATTCGCCTTGGAACACCATACCTATATATGACATGGTGTTTAATAAATTTGACCACATCACTCGTCTTTACTTCTCTAAGTGGAACTGCTTCTGCCCATTTCGAGAAATAATCTGTGATTGCCAAGATGAAACGGTCCCCTTTAACCGAAGGCGGAAAGATAGGACCTACTATGTCCATTCCCCAAGTTTCGAATGGCCATGATGTCACCGATGGATGTAAATACTCAGGCGGCTGGTGCATATAATTTGTATGTAACTGACACACTTCACATCGTCGTGCGTAGTCGACTGCGTCTTTTACCATAGTTGGCCAATAATACCCGATTCTCCTAAGTCGATCACAAAGTTTAGGACCGGGCTGATGTGCACCACAAATCCCATCATGCGCCTCTTTGAGTGCTTGTTCCGCTTCTTTACCGGATAGACAACGTAGTAAAAGACCATCGTACGATCGTCGATACAACGTTTGCGCTGTAGCGTTGTAGTAAAACCTCGGCGCTCTTCGCCGAATCGATTCGGGCAATATACTATGTAGGACGTAGTCGATAATGGGAAAATGCCAATCTCGAACTTCGGGTTCGACTCCTGTTGAGTATGCTTCTTTAGCATTTGAATCGTAGATTGGAACAATAAGATGGTGAGTCCTCATTATAATCAATTGTTCTGTTTCGGGAGGTTGAACCAAGGATACCGACAACGCCGCCAATGCGTCTGCATACGCATTTTGGAGACGTGGAACGTACTCGATGAAAAATCCTTCAAATGAGCTTGCCATCTCGATGGCCACCTGGTGGTATGGAATCAGGTCTCGATTTCTGACTTCATACTCTCCTCGTATTTGATTAACTACCAGTTGAGAATCCCCAAAAGCTTCAAGGTATTCGACCCCCAGCTCTTTGGCAAAATTAAGTCCGATTATTAACGCATTGTATTTGGCAACGTTATTAGAGCATGGTTCGGTCAGTGAATATGCTCTAGGCAAGACATGCTTTTCCAGGGAAACTAAAACGACCCCCACTCCTGAGGAGATTTTAGAACATCCGAGTGCGCTCGCTACATTGGTTGATCGGGAAGCCCCATCGAAGTACAATTGCCACACTTGTTGATGTGAGGTGGTATTAACTTCATGAGTTTCATCTGGCAGATCGTCGTACAATTCGACTACATCCTTCGTAGGGTTTTCCGCCAGAAGATCGCAAATAGCTCGTCCTTTAACAGATTTCTGTTGCTTGAAGTACAAGTCATATTGCGATAAGAGTAAAGCCCATCTGGCTAAACGCCAATTCATGGAGGCCGGTTGGGTCATGAATACTCGGATTGAGTTTATGTTGGAGATGACATAAATTGTCTGTCCAACTAAATAGTGTCGTATTTTCTGAATCGCGAATACTAGTGCGAGTCATTCTTTCTCGATCATTGGATAACGAGATTCAGCTCCAACCAGTGTACGACTTAGATAATACACAGCTTGTTCGTGACCGTTATCGTCGTCTTGTGCGAGTAATGCACTTAACGAATGGCTCGTCGCTTTGACATAAATCAAAAACGGTCTGCCTGATTTCGGTGCAACGAGAATAGGTGGATTCGCTAGATATTTCTTAATATCTTCGAATGCCTTTTGGCATGCTTCATCCCAAATGAATGACACGCCTTTCTTTACGAGTTTAGAGAATGGTTGACATTTTCCAGACAGATTTGATATAAACCGACGGATATATGCCAATCGACCTTGCAACCCCCTGAGTTCTTTAAGATTCCTCGGTGGTTGTAATTCATGTATCGCCTTCACTTTATCAGGATCGATATGAATACCTTTTGTGGTGACGACGAATCCAAGAAATTTACCGCTGGACATTCCAAGGAAAGACTTAGTTGGGTTCATCTTTAACTGATGAGTCCTCATAAGTTCGAACATCGTCTTCAGATCGTTAATGTGATCGTTTTTATCACGGCTCTTGACAACCAGGTCATCAACATAGCATTCGACGGTCTTCCGAAGGTGTTCTTGAAATATCTTCATCATCGCACGTTGGTATGTAGCACCAGCGTTCTTCAAACCAAAAGGCATAACAGTGTAACAGAAGACACCAAGGGGTGTTCTGAATGCTGTATGCTTTTCATCGTCTGGATGCATCTTAATCTGATTATACCCAGAAAATCCGTCCATAAATGACATTCTCTCGAACCCACAAGTGTTGTCAATGATGACGTCCGTGATCGGTAAGGGGAAGTCGTCTTTAGGACATGCGGTGTTTAGATCTCTAAAGTCAATGCAGATTTTGATCTTTCCGTTCTTTTTAAGAACTGGAACAATATTGGCCAACCATTCAAGATGTTGTTCTTCTCTGACAAAACCCGAATCAATTAGTTTCTTGACTTCAGCTTCTATTGCCTCCATAATCTGTGGACGAAACCGTCTTTGTTGTTAT